ATGCACTCTCATGAGGGCTGCTTGAAAATGATATGATTCCTTTTCTTTCAGGTTAGGAAATTGGAGGGTCAAGGGGTGCCCTCAAATCAAGCTGAGGCAATAACAGCTGCCATTACTGAAGTGTTAAATGATAGCTTGGAAAACATATCTCATTCATTTGTTTCAAAGGGGGAGATGCAGAAAGTGAGTGTTTAAGTACTTTACTTTTACATGTTTTCTATTCAGCTAATGTCGGTGTAGTTCAATGATGACGAAAAGCTAAAGTTTTTGGTGATACGAGCGTGTATAACATCTATCATTTTACCTTCTTTTGTATTGTTTGCGTCCTACCAACCTTTAAATGGATATCTTTATTATATGTTTGTAGGTTGAAATGATCCAGGATTCAAATTTGTCAAAATTCAAATCTGAAGTTCAAAGTTCACAGGTACCAAAATTTGTAGACTTGCCCTATCCTAGTTTACTTTCTTGGTCTTGTTAGATGATGGTATCCATGTATAATACTCTCTAATTTGTTTGGTTTAGCAACAAACTAAAGATGGAAACCTTAAATAAAAATGAGTATTTAGTTTCCATTGGAGTCCTGTATCATAATATACTCAAGAATGTTGTTGCACGCAATACGTGAAATAATTAAGTTTGATTAACGCTTGAACTACCATGAGTTGGTTCAGTAGTCAAAGCGACAACAATAAACTTATATGTTTTTTAGGTTACGGGATTAATTCTTAGTGGCAGTCTATTCAAGATGCCAAATGGCTTACTAATATCAGGGGTCGTGACCAAATGTTGCATGTTTCGGATAATGTGGGTGGGAGGACCAAGCGTCTTGGGGCATGAGAGTTTTATACAGTATCTGACCAAATGTTGGATTGTTTGTTCATGTCTCTGACCATTGGATTGAACACATGGGTATGTAGGGGCACCATTTTTCTTTATTGGGACACGAGACCGAAAAACTCCGAAATGATATCGAGAAGATGCGTAGTGAGTTGAGGTTTGTGTTACCGTACCTCAGTTTTTATGAAATGTATACTAGCTTCATATTTTGACATTAACTTGTTCTCTCTTGAATTAATCTTATTTGTGCAAAGACCTTTAACTATGGTGCAGGTATGAAATCGACAAAGTCACAGCTGGACAGCGATTGGATTTGAATCTCGAAAGAGGGTAAGTATACTTTTTCACGTAAAAGAAAGAGTACATTTTGGTTTGATTTGAGCTTTGCTTACAAATTCTATTGTTCATAAGTGCAGGAGGATACGGGATGAGCTAGCTAATCAGAATGCTGAAACAACTAACCTGACGAATAAACTCGATCGGGTAAGACCAACCTCCTGAAGAGAATGTTGGACAATTTTAGATAAAGTTTCTTAGTTTAGATAAGCAAATTAACATACAAATTATAGACTTAAAAAAGACTTTAAAATTCATTGAAACTTTGTTTACTTGTTCTAGATAGAAAAACAATAGCCTTAGGCTGTGTTAGAAGAACAATTCTGTGGGTTTTTCTGCTGTGTGAGTTGGGGTAGGCTGCAAAAAACCCGAGTGCAGCTCGGGATGCTCCCAAATATCGCTCGTCTGAGTTTTAACTCGTCTTCCTAAAAATTTTCAGGAAATTCATGGTCTGAGGGCACAGCTGGAAGCTGCCAAATACGATGTAATAAAATACTGCATTGGAACCCTTGTTTCCATCTCTGCTGTTGGTCTGGCTGTGTTGCGCATCTTAATGTAAACAGTTCAAAATCATGAACTGGTTTGGGGGATTGATCAAGAATTTGACAAGATTATTGTGTACTTTCAGTTTTTTTTGTTCTTTTAACCTTCTTTTAGAGAGGATTCTGGGAAGTTGAGCTATTTTCTCCGAGAGAGTTTCCATGTTTTATTTGTTTTGTCATGGAAATGGACCTCGTAGCCATTTGAATTGTTCTCATTGTTCTCATTTGAGAATATGATTATAGATAGTGATAATAACCATTGTTGTAATTTTATGTGGTCAGGGGATGTTCAACTCATTAGTATCCATGCTCTTGTGCCTTTTCTCTAATTTCTCTTACCATTTTGTAGTTCAGCAAAATTTAAATCAAATCAAATATACTTTATCTTAATTAGTTGAATGTCCTTGTGGATATCTTTTATCTTAATTGGTTGAATGTTCTTGTGGATCGGACATTAATCCTCTCATACCCACTAATTGGTGTACTCTGGAACCTGGGGGTTGCTCCGAGAAATCTCCTTATCCTCTTAATTATTTTAAATTTTGTACTTAAACTAGCAAAGGAGAAAAGGCACGGTTAAACTAAAAAAGTAAAAATTAAAATCAATTAAACGATATGTGATAATTATCGAAATATTAACGATAATTGGGCCATCAATGTGGGCTTCCATATAGCAGAGATTTATGGGCCTTTAATGTGGGCCTCCATCTAGTAGAGCTTTATGGGCCTTCAATGTGGGCTTCCATCTAGCAGAGATTTATGGGCCTTTAATGTGGGCCTCCATCTAGTAGAGATTTATGGGCCTTCAATGTGGGCTTCCATCTAGTAGAGACTTATGGGCCTCCAATGTGGGCCTCAATTAAAAAGTGAGAAGCCCAGACCCAATAAAGTGGCAGATTTTATTTATTTTTCATTTATCAGGGAAAAAAAATTGATAATAATTTTTTCTTAAAAAAATTCAAAATTTAAAGACTTGAAGAGAAAATAACCATAAAAGTTGGAACTAGACATATTATTTAGACTTAAATATTAATTCTTCCCATTTTTCATTTTTCTAATTTAAATATTTTGTTTTCACTAAAATTAAATATAAAAAAACTAATTTTTACCATTAAAAGATGAAAATTTAATTTGAAGGTGTTAATGGATGGGTAATTTGGAAGCTAATTGACTTCTAATTAATAATAAATTTCCCACTTGCATAAGTATTTACTTTAATTAATATAATTTAATTTTATCTTTGCAGTCTTCCTCTTCGTCGGTCAATTTGAATTTTACGTAACTCAACTGGTAAAGATAATCTCTCTAATAAAACGAGGTCAAACGTTCAATTTCAATTTTCGATATTATTGAATTTTGACCTAAAACGGTCAATGATTCATGATGTGCACACTTTACCCAATGTGTGTAAAAGAAAGCCTTTACTTTATTTCTCCACCGTTTTGAGCAACTAAAATTCATTTATGATATCTTTCATTAAAAACAATACATACCCATAAAAATCGGAGAATTATTTTTGTGTTTTATAAGCATTTGACTTATTTCAATTTTTTTTTAACAATTCCCGAACCTACTAGACACATTTTAGCCAAGCTAAAAATTCCTCGCCATTGAAGTTAACAAAATTGTCATGGTCACTGTTGGCTTCAACGACGTCACAACCTATATCTTCCTTACATTTATCGTCGTGGGTGTGAGAAACCCTTTTAACAATGACTAAAACATAAACTTTAACGAGATCGTTTACTTATAATAAACGGATGAAAATGAAAACTTTAAGGTTAAAGATTTTGAGGGATGATTTTACTAAATTGCCCTTGGAGGGATGGGAGTAATGAATGTTTTGTCCCATAAGGAAGAGGGAATCATTGGAGTTTGGTGGGTCGGCGACAAAAGCTGGGCCATTGTCATTTGTCATTGCCTTTCTACCACTTTTTTTCTTCACTTTCCTTCCAAGCCATGTCTTGTCCCTCCACTCTTTTTCAACCATTCCCCCCCTTCCACAAAAGGGTATTTTTGGAAATTATTTTTTTTGAATCGAACTCGAAATTTTCGGTTGGTCGAGTCCGTTAGTGACTCGAACAACTCGAACAGAGTTTACAACCCAACCTAACTCTATATTTCCACAATATGTTATATTAATAACTAAAATCTCGTAAAACTCAAATATCAAATATTTACAAATCACAACGCATCACAACATTCATTACAAATATCAAATATTCTTAATTTCCATAATAATCTTAAAAACAGAACAAAGTTGGATTAGATTGTAACCATATTTTCGAGTTAGCCAAGTTCACTCGACAAAACGTTTGCTAATAACCCAAATTGAAAAAAATCTAACCCAACTCGATTAAGTTGGACTAATCCGGAATGGTCAAGTTATCAGGTCATATGAATACCCGATCATTTTTTGAATTAACTAAACTTATTATTTAACTTTTTAAATTTCTTTTTATTTTCCATACCACTTTTTTGCATTCCAATCAACCCAACAACCTAAAAGAGGAAAAAGAAAAAGAAAAAGAAAAAGAAAAAAGAAAAAAGAAAAAAGAAAAAAAGAAAAAAAAGAAAAGGGTAAATTAGGAATATGATAATTATTTATTAACTTTATTGTCAGCTGTAATTAGTCGGTGTTTTTGGGAGGCGGATTTAGGGTTAATCACGCCATTTAAATTTAGAAATTAGAATACGACGAGCGGGAAAAATATTCCTCTAAACGGCCGCCGATTAATCGCCATGCACGTGACCCTTTTTCCCCTTTTTATTATTTATTTTTATCTCTATCAATTTATTTATTTAATTTTAATTACTAAATTTTATGTAATTACTTCACTCATTTATTAAATTGTAGCGTACGCGTATGCCTCTTTACTATAATAATTCTAATATTTAAAAATTTGCGTGACTCTCATACATTTTTTAATTTTAAATTATTTACTATAAATCCAACAATTTTTTTTTTAAAATTTATTGGTGTTTTTTAATTATTTAAAAAAACTATTTATAAATAAAATTATTCAGACAATACATCACTAACATCAGTTAAGCCAATTAATCTAAATTTTTTAGTTTTTTTTGGTTGGATAGTCTGTATTAACTGAATTCTCGAGTCATATGAATACTCCTGTCATTACTGATATGAACCATAACAACTAAAGTAACCCTTTTTGTTATAAATTCGAATTGAAGATATGTTACATTTGAAATAAGTTGATGGCATATTTTTAAAATAATTTTTAAAAAAAATTAAAAAAATAAATAAAGGGGCAGTTTTAGCATAGGGGGGCACGGACGCTTTCAGGCCTCATTCAATGCTCCTTACAGAACTCACCATCCATTTTTGTTCCCAAACAAACTCCATTTTCATCCTTCTCTCTCTCTCTCTCTCTCTTCACCGGCTTATCGGACCATGGAATGTGTTGATGGAGCTCTCGAGATTCTTCAATTGAGCCCACAGCTCTGTTTTCGCGATAATGGCTGTTTTAATCCCCAGAATCTTCCCACCTCCGATGATTTCTTTGTCGACCAACTCCTCGATTTCTCCAATGATGATCAATTTGTTCAAGACCAGACCCCCGACGAGGACGAACACGACCACGATGACTCTGTTTCTCTTTCCGGTCGAGAAATTCATCAGAACTCCATTGTTTCCGATCATCCTTCTTTACCCTCCGGCGAACTTACCGTTCCGGTGTTGTTTTTGTTTCCTTTCCCCTGTTTTTTGAACAGAGTTGCGGGGGTTGTTTTTTTTTTTTTTTTTTTAATTTCGGTAATATTGATGAAGGTTTTGCTGTTTTTAACAGGTGGATGATTTAGCAGACCTCGAATGGTTATCTCATTTCGTTGAGGATTCTTTCTCTGGATTCTCGGCTTCTTTCCCCTCCGCCGGAATTTCTTCCTTGGTGAAATCGTCAAAGGACTCCGCCGCCGTAGACAAGAAACCGAGCCACGGTGGTTCCATTTCGCCGCCGGAGAACTGTTTCAAAACTCCCATTCCAGTTAAGGCTAGAAGCAAACGGACGAGAACTGGCGGTCGAGTTTGGTGCCTCGCCTCACCGTCGTTGACCGAGTCATCCTCAAGTTCCACAACGTCGTCGTCCTCCTCCTCGTCGCCGGCTAGTCCTTGGCTTATACTTCCCGACCGTTACGAACCGGAAATTCCAAAGAAGAAACCAAGGAGAAAGTCGTTATCAGAAAAGCCCAAAACCAACGTCGGAGCTCAGCCTCCACGGCGGTGCAGCCATTGCGGAGTCCAGAAAACCCCCCAATGGAGAACCGGCCCCCTCGGAGCCAAAACTGTCTGCAACGCTTGCGGCGTCCGATTCAAATCGGGTCGACTATTACCCGAATACCGACCCGCCTGTAGTCCAACTTTCTCCAGCGAATTGCACTCCAACCACCACCGGAAAGTCCTCGAGATGCGCCGTAAAAAGGAAATCGCCGCCCCGGCCGAGTTATTGACCTTAGAACAGAAATAGCATACCGTAGTTGAGGCGGGCCACCGGAGGAGGAGGAGGAAGAGAAGAGTAAAGTTTAGGTAAGGAACCGGATTTATCGAACCCGGTTCAATTAATCCGAGTTAGTATACATTTTCCCCCTCCTCGGTTCGCCGTAGGTTTGTAGCAATGTACGTACGTAACCGTCTAGAGAAAAAAAAATTATTATGTATTTCTAAATTTGAATTTCTTTTATTATTAAAATTTTAGATTAAATCACATTTAACTTCAAAATGTATTTTTCACATTAACTTCCGTATTTTATAACGTAATTTATTTTATTATAGAAGAATAATACACGTAATAAATAATAATATAATATTTAATTCGACAGTTACTTAAAAAAAAAATAAATAAATAAAATATTAAATTGTCGGAGGGAGAGGAATTTGGGTGAGTTTTAAACGGCTTTAGTGGCCGTTGGAAGGCGTAAAAATTATGAACGACGAGGCGGGGCGACATATGTAATTTAACATATTAATTAACTTTAATTTCTAATTATGGCGTAATAATTAGGTCTGTTTGAAACTGTTGGGCCGTTTTGGTTTCATAAAAAAAGTCAAGGCCCATTAATTAATTTACTATTTTAAAAAAATATAGTAATTCAAGTAAAAAGGATTTCGTGTAATTTTCGTAAAAGAATAAAAATTAGATAAATAAAATAGGGGCCACGTGGTTTGGTTTGACGTGGAAAATATCAGAAAAGATCAAAGGTGAAAGACTAAAATGCCCTTGAGTGAGTTTTGCAAATTTATTACGTGGCAATCATAAGTTGGTTTTATTCATTTTATTTCTTTTTTTTTTTTTTTTTTTTTTTTTTTTTTTGGAAATTATTCACATGCAGCAATTATGGGTGTGGGTGGAGGTGGGAAATGGAATAATTATGGCAAAAAATAAAAATAAAAAATAAAAAAGGAAAAAAAATGCATTTTTTATATTTATTTTTTATTTTTCCAAAAGGCAAATTTTTGGGGGTTTCTTTTTACCTGAATTCGAGCTTATACTTATACCTATCATTGTCACACCCCACTTATATTTCTTTTTAGGAAAATTAAATTAATTAATTAATTAAAAGAAATTAAAATTCCTTTTGTGCAGTGCCCATATTTTGCAAGAATATATTCAGTTTTATTTATTTATTTATTTATTTCAAAAGGAAATATCCTTTAATGAAGAAGTTAAATTACGAGTTTAGTTTGTAAATATATATATATATATATATATATATATATTTTTTTTAATGAAGTAAATAAATTAGTCCGTTTCCAGAAAAGATAATATAAACGAGAAAATATTCAAAACCTGGAATGATTAATAGAGAAATGGGGAATTTGTGTGTTGAATTGGGATGGTTGCGTTGAAAAGAAGTGATCTTGGAATTGATTTTTAATGTAGAAAAGCAATTTGATTCAACCATAATTTGGTCCTTCCCCCATATCCCTTCCAAAAATTATGCAACAGCTTGCCCATCTCCATCATGAATTACTTCCTTTATACTTTAACGAGATTCGAGTAACGGATGAACTTTAAGCACTTTCTAATTATATACACGTTTTTGGTTTGATAATAGTAATTCTAGTTGTGTGGGTGATATAGTGTGAGATCTCACGTCGGTTGGAGAGGGGAATGTAGTATTCTTTATAAAGGTGTGAAAAGACACGTTTAAAATCTTGAGGGGAAGCTCTGAGTGAAAAGCCTAAAGTAGGGAATATTTGTTATTGGTGAGCTTGGACTGTTATAAATGGTTTCAGAAGGGCGGTGTGCTAGTGAGGACATTGGACACCAAGGGGTTGATTGTGGGTATCAGAGCCAGATGTCACAATCGCACTTTGATGGCAGCGGACTTGTGATTGTGCGGCACTCACTTCCTAACAACAAGTGAGTTAAGCCTATTCGTTCTTGCGTCGCCTACGGTCAAGCGACGTATGCTCGAGCCTTTGGCCCTGGTTCAAAAAGAAGGTTTTAGAAAACGAGAACAAAGAGATTTCAAAAGAGAGTTTTGAAAGCAAGATTTGAGAAATTGGAAATTGTGTTATATGAGAATGTAAGTAAAAAAGACAACAACAAGGGCTTACTACATAACTATAGGGCGGGAAGAATTTGAAAACTAGTCATATCCCCCTATAATACATTTTGGGGCATTTTAGCCCTTGCAAGTGTAGACACGATTATGATGAAAGGTCATACACCCTCGTATTGACCCAATATGAAATGGTAAAAACCTATCTAGGATGAAAGCATGTAAAAGGGGTTTGGAACGGGCATGCAACCATGGACAATACATCCTAGACAAGCAAGATCGGGATGTTTGTCATGCGGCCATTGACAACACGCCTTGGACATGCATGACCGTGACACCAGACACCGAGCAATGTGCCAGCATGGACGATGGACCCCAGGATCAGAATCAGACATCAGGCGGTGTACCGGCGAAGACGTGGGTCCCCAATGGGGGTGGATTGTGAGATCCCATCTCGATTGGAGGGGGATTCTCGTTGAGCCCCCGAAGGAAGGTGGATTGTGAAATCCCATTTCAATTGGAGGGGGAACGAAACATTCCTTGTAAGGGTCTCGCTGACCCCCCAAAGGGGTGGATTGTGAGATCCCATCTCAATCGGAGGGATTTCCTTGCTTGGCCCCCACAATGGTGAATTGTGAAATCTCATCTCGGTTTGAGGGGGGAACGAAACATTCCTCGTAAAAGTGTAGAAACTTGTTTTGTTACACATAAAACTGAGATTAACATGTTTTGGTAACTTGGGTCGATGAAAATTTTCTTTTTGATGGTCGGTTATTTTTCTTTGATTTTGGAATTTTTGACGTAAAATTATCGTATCTCGTGCATTATAATCTATGAGACGAGGTGGGCGGACCGATTGCGATGTGTGGTGGATTTCTAACCTAACTAGATGAGGTTAGGCATAAGGTAAGTGGGTTGGGCAATGGGTGGCCTAGTCAAGGACAAGTCCGAGAGCCCATTCATTGCCCGGAGTACCTTTAATGTACGTCACTTTGGAGCTTACAGCGACCTTGCTATATAAAAGACCATAGACATGAAACACTCCCAAACACATTTCTACGTAAACAACTTCGAGATTCAATTAAAATTTTGTAAAGTTCTAATATTAACATTTATAAGTCACAACACATCACTAACTATCAGTTACAAATGTCAAATATTATTTAATTTTTATAATAATATTAAAAATATGGTAAGGTTATAACTTAAAAAACAAGAATCACGACAAAAAAAAAAATCTTAAATTAACTAACCATTTTAAGGATGGTCGTTGATAGATAGCAACAAATGTTATTAGAATTAAATAAGAAAAAGAGTTGACTTTCTTGATTATAAAGCTGATATCTAAGATTTAGATTAATTGACTTTCTAAATATTCCACCTAATAAGGCCAAAATAGGTGGGGCAAATTGAGGCCCAATAAGCACAAATTGGATGTGACCCAAATTATGCCCAATAGGCTTCCTAATCTTCCATTTCTAATAATTAAATCTCATAAGACGCTGAGATCACTAGCAGTGGATAACAACGGGCTTGGACCGTTACAGTTACTATCTATCTTACAAGTAAGGTATCCGTGAAAACCTTTCCCTAGTAGTGGACAACAATAGGCTTGAACCGTTATAGTTACTATTTATCTTACAAGTAACGTAGGATAGGGTTGAGTTGTAACCCTATTGACAACTCTCCACAACCCTAAATTAGCCAATGTGGGACTTTCATCCCTTAATCGAGGCTCGACTCCTTTTTCTTTTGGATTCCCTTGTTCGATATTTGAGGATTTACCAACCTATTGGCACGACTAAGTTTATGGCATAACTCTGATACCAAGTTATAAATCACGGATCTCTACAATGGAATGATATTGTACACTTTGAGCATAAGCTCTCGTGGCTTTACTTTGGGCTTGGGACATAGTATTCTTTGATTATAAGCGCATGATCATTTCTAAATCAACAGTACTTTCGTTATTCAACACCTATTTTTGGGTTGATCACGTTGATCCAACTATATCAATCTACAAATCAACCTGAATTTTTTATTTTCTAAAAACACGATCAACCCAACTTTCATAATTTAAGTGAAATAATTTGAAATAGTCGAGTTTTCGGAAAATAAACGAGTATCGATGTGAGGTCCCGTGAAGAAATATAGAGATATCAATCAACGGTTAGGAAGGAAGTGAAACACTCTCACATGCCGTCTAGAACTCATATGTCAGAATCACATAAATAACAATAAAATAAAAAAATAAAATCTCCCAATTCCCAATCAATTATTTATCAACATTCATCATTACAAACTCTCCAATTAATCTTAATCCAAAAAAAACATGTCTAAATCAATCACCTTAGCATCCTAAACAACAACAACACTCTTGTTTTTTTTTATGGGATTACCGGCCCGGCGCTCCGGCATTCGGCGGAGGATTTCTGCTCGCCTCCTTGGCAGAAGAACAAGAATGTCGGGCAACGGAACAGGCAGTTCCCGGCGAGTGTCACGGTGGCCGAGTCCGGTTTCATCAGCCGTAGTGGCTCCGGGATTGGACCGAATAGATAGTTTCCGCCCAATAATAGTCTTACTAACGGTGACATTCCGGGCTCTGGATTGGCGGTTTTGAAGGCATAGAGAACCGGAATCATTCCGGTGAAGTTGTTGTTCTCCAGTGATAAAGCAGAGAGCTTCGGCATTAACGCCAAGAACGGCGGCAGAAATCCAGTGATTTCGTTGTCGCTTAAATCAACGGCGATGAGACTACTCCGAGCACCGCTGGAATTTGGTGTTTCCACGGCGGAGAATTGGTTGAAAGAGAGCGTAAGTTGCTCCAAAGACGGATGTTCAAACAGAGCCGCCGGAACAGAGCCACTGAATCGATTATGACTCAGATCCACAACTTGAAGATTACCCAAATCGCCAATACTACTCGGAACCACTCCTTCAAAGCTATTATTCCTCATCGATAATTGAACCAACGACGCCGGAAAACCCGCCGGAAGCTCTCCAGAAAACCCATTATCACTTCCATCCAAATAATACAAATTCTTAAAAACACCCAAATCAGGAAACGCACCGGCGAACCCATTAGACTGCAATTCCAGCCGCTTCAAACTAACAAGCCCCACAAAACTCGCCGGAACAGAGCCATTAAACCCATTTCCAT